AACATACACAATATTAATGTTAAATGTCATGGTAATATATATGAACTACATAAAAACAGTGTTGCTTTCTAACGTGTGGCTTGTTTAAACCCTAAAAGAGCACAGCTGGCTTTGCTGAGCCAAACCATATTACTGATCCATCCTGACTGTGATTCCATTTGTGAGCTAAAGTCCCAACTGGGAGCTTTCTCATAAATTGGGTCAAGACAGGAAGAACTCTAGGTAGCCAGAGGTGTCTGTGTCTCTTTTCAAATAATTGAAGGCCATTTCTTCTGGTGTCTGGAAGAAGTAAAGTGTCCTTGTCTAACGGGTATCGCTTTAGTATACCACATGCCCAATAAGTTCTAGCATCTAGGAGCATGCAATAGCAGCTAATATTAGCTATGCAGTCATGGTATTATTAGTGTTTAATTATATCATGTGCATTGAGATATTTTAAATGTTAAAGAGAAAACAGAAGGACTTATTCTTCTTAGCAACCATTATAGTACAGAATGTTCAAAGCTGCAATCACATTCATAAGGCAAATAAATTGGTTACAAAATGAGGGTAGCAACAAGTGTGCATGCTATAGAAAATGTGAAATGGTACCTAAAATAGATAATCACCTTATTTGTTTTCAAAATTCCAGTGCTGACTCCGACCATCAATTATCAAACTGGAAATTTTTCACTTTAACACTCAACGCCAATTTTCAGTCTTAGGAGTGCAACAAAAGGAACATAAAATAATTTTTTTTTTCTCACTGGCTAAGATTCTACCTCATTTGAGAAAGACTTTATTAAAAACCCTTTTAAGAATAAAGGGCTTGAGGTCTTAATGGCAACTCATACTGGTGGGCACACCTAGGGCTTCACTGCTCCAGGTTAATATACAAAAACTAAATGATAAGAGAAGCATCATCAAAGACAGGTTACTTTCTAAAATACTTTCTACATATTGTTTTCCTTCTTCAATGTTATTTCCTTTGGCTCATGCACACTCAAGGCGCTTCATATATAAGACGATGAAAGAGGGAAGGGTTATACATTATGAAAGCTCTTTTTCAAAAACAAACTA